TTCCTTCTGGATTAATGAACAAAATTATATTTTTAAAATGATTAAACTTTACTTATTTAAATAGCGGCAATTCTCAACAAATGTTGTCTTGAAGCAGTTTACAAAAAATAATAAATTCAATCTCTCATTCTGACTGGTCCTAGTTATCAAACAGTAAATTAAGTCCAATTAATTACTGGACTGGAGCCTTGAGTTAAAACTACACAGTGATGGAAAGTTTCCATTACAAATTTGTCTACATTCCACTAGTGTCAAAAAACGCAATTTTACTTATTACATAAGAATCGCAATTAAAATTACACGTGAATAAGTTTGTTAGTTACTAATTACTTGCTGCATCCTCCATCTACTTCCTGTTGACTTCTTCGTGGTTTACGCATATGGCAACTTCCGGGTTTTTGATCGTCTGACACAAAAGCGCTTCCATTGCAGGTTTGTGAAATAAAGCAATTTCGATACTAAGCCCAACTCGTATCGAAAATAAAGTTATTTTTTTATAATTGTTTCGTGTTTCTATTGAGCAAAAGTATTTCTACTAAACGCTAGTAGCGGCTTCTGGCTAGCGGCTTCATGAGATGGAGGTAGTTAAGTACACTGGTAGCAAGCTAGCAGGTTATATTTTTAGTTTTGGCTGTATCGATTGTTTTTTCGAAATTGTTTTTTCCCGTTAAACCTGCAATGGAAACAAAACTTATCTAACGAAGACAACAGGATAGTTGAATTAAGTTATTTTAATAACTTGAGTGATTTTAATTGAGTTTACAATTCAAATACCGACAGTAGCGGAACATAAACCGAGTTTTGCTACATTTGTAAAGAGACCGCAGTGAAAACTAAAGGTTCCGGCTCAGTTTTTCTTTAAATTGTGACTCAAACACATCAGACTCCACCTGAAGCATAAACTGCGGGCCAAGCAGCTTAAAATGAAAACAATGGCTCCATGTGTCAAGGAACCGCCAGCAGCCCAGAGGTGAGTTTCTTGGTTTTGTCTTTAGTTCCTCTTTGTGAGTTTTTTTCCGTTGGCTTTCCTGTCCCAGTGCAGATGATAGACCAGCGGGACAAAGTCCAACCGCAGGCTTCCTCCTGCTGGATGTATAGACACGTTTCCTCCCGATGTATTTGCGCAGTCAGCCATAAAACCCGCTATCTTGGCCGCACACATGCACCTTAAGGAAACGGCCCGTTTATTTAACCTCCATTTTCCTTAATCTGGAGTATTTTGAGTGAAACACCCCAATTCCAGCCAAAGTTGATCACTTTTGTTTGTTTTGCTGATTGATGGATAAATCTGAATAAACGTAAATATATTAAAGATGAAAGGAAGAAGGATAACATGCATTGAAAATAAAAATAATTCTGCAGATCTGACCAGAACCAGAACAAATAGCGCCTGTTTGTGGCCACCAGAGGGCGCCATTGACCTCCGGTTCTGAGATCAGAGCGGAAAATGCAGGAGAAACATTTGATTTAACTCAGTTAATGGAGAGCGTTGCATGTTGGTTGTTTCTAGATGCACTTAAAAAATTATCAGCAACAATTAAAATTATTTAAAGAAAAAAATGGCAGTTAAACATAAATATTTTTAACATTTATAAATGTTACAGTATAAATATTTAATCAGCTTAATACTTAGCCTCAAACTAAATAATTAACTCTAAAGTAAATATTTAATTATCAAGCTAACTATTTAGCTTCAAAACTAAATATTGAGTTAACAAGCCAGTTATTTTTGCTAAAATTAGCCTCAAACTAAACATTTAACTTTAAACAATAATTTAATTAGCATTCTACATGTTTAGTTTATGAAACAAATTTTGCCTTCAAAGTAAATATTTAATTTGAGCTACATTTATAGTTAGCATGCTATATGTTTAGCCCCAAACTAAACTAAGCTAAGCGTTTAGCTTAATTAGCAAGCCTAATATTTAGAATACCAGCTAAGCATTTATTTTTGATCAAAGTATTAAGATCTAAACTAAACATTTAGAGCAACATATACAGCTCTAACCTGAACAAATAGCTTACAAACTAAATATCTAGTTTGCAGTTAAATATTTAGTTTCAGAATTGTTCTAAAAATGTATCTTCATCCAGGCTTGCAGAGTTTGTGTGTTACGTTGTATTTTTACCCCAGGAAAACAGAAAATGTGGTTAGAGATGAATTAAGTTTCGGTGTTTTTACAAACATTCACCTCGTTTATTGTTGAATGATCAAACCTCTCACTGGTTATTATGAAATCTGTGGAAGTGTTGGTGTTGTTGTGTTTGCAGCGGTTTTTATTTTCATCCCACTGCTTTGTTTGGTTTTGTTGCGCGGCTGCATGTCGGTGTGTTTGCAGGTTCGGCGGCTGCGTTCGGGTCCCAGCCAGGAGTCACTGGCAGACCTCTTCACCGACGCCCACACACTCCCTCCAGCTGACTGGCGCCATGGCAACCAGCAGAGCCATCCGGGTCCTGTGTGTGTGTGTGTGTGTGTGTGTGTGTGTGTGTGTGTGTGTGTGTGTGTGTGTGTGTGTGTGTGTGTGTGTGTGTGTGTGAGACCAGGTGTGTCTCATTGGTGCTTTTTTGTGTTCTCCATCGTTTCCCCGGAGAGACACTGATGTGCATCAAGCTCCACATGCATGAGGCAGACGAAGAGCAGATGGTGGCTCTGCGTTCATGTTGCCAATGTGTGCAAATCTTTCTCTGTAATTTGCTAATATCGAACAGAATAAACACAATTTCCCAATTATTGTGTTTCTATTCAGTAAGAAATGTAATTAAAGTCGCATGTGAAAAAGCTTGTTTGAGTCTTGGTTGTCCAAAGTGCGGCTCAGGGGCCATTAGTGGCCATTGGATTGGTTTGTAGCGGTCAAAAATGATCCAGATTTGTCCCGTTGATGCAGATCAAGAATATGTAATATTTTAACAATGTAAAATGTAAAGTACAACAAAGTCTTTCTTTCTATAACTCTGAAATTTCCAAGTTTTTTGTAGATATTTTGAAAATTTCATAGTTTTCTGGTCAATTTTCAACTTTTCAAACTCCTGAATTTGCTTTGTTTTTCTAGCAAATTTCCCAGATAAATCTCAAAATTTCTGATTTGTTTTTAAGCAAATATTTGACTTTTTAAACTCTTAAATTTCCAAGTTTTTTCTTGAAAATCTCAAAATATCAGTCTTTTTTCTAGTAAATATTTGCCTTTGCAAATTTTTTTTTATAGAAAATTTCTGAGCTCAGTCTCAAAAATGTTAATTTTTGTCTAGAAAATGTTCAACTTTTCAAACTACATTTTTTTTCTACAAAATTTCTTTTCACATTTTCAACTTTTGAAACTCACAGATCTGTTTTTTTTCTTGAAAACATCTGAGTTTAATTGAATTATTTTCTGTGAGGCCGTTTGTGCCTCAGACAACGGAAAGCAGAAGGCTGCAGCGAAGATGTTGGATTGTTTTGAAACTTACTTTCACTTCCTGAAGTCGAGTTTATTTTAATCCTGCCGCTGATCGAGTTGCTCTTTTCCTGCCGCCTTTCAGTTTCTCCTTTGAGACGTTTAGACAAAACTTAACGGATCACACTTTGTGGTCGAATGTGTTTCCAAGCAAATGTTTATCCTGGTTTTTACAATGACGATAAAACAGAAGAGGGTTTTATTTTGTCAGAAAATGCATTTTACTTGACGGTGATAGTTTTACTGGTTGGGAAAACACATTTAAAAACGTAACAGTCATCCTAATCCTTATTTGTTCTCTTCATCCTTCTCTTTAAAATCCCTTGAAAATATTCACAGTTTTTTAAATCTTAAATACAAAATGTTTGTTTTCTGAACTGTTTTGGTTCAATTACCACTCAGAGTGTGTTGCTCTGTCATCAGATGATAAACTTTAGCCTGTATGCTCCAGTTAGCATAGCCACCGTTAGCCCAGTTAGCAGCAGCAAGAGGAGAGCAGAGGATCCAGACATAGTAGTAAAAATAGAAAGTAGACTTTGTCCACTACTCATCAGATTATCAATAAATATTTAAAAAGGACATAATCAGATGGTACAATAAGTGGAAATGTTGGTATTTTAATGACCAAAGTAATTCATATGAGTAAAAAAATAATAAAGAATTTTATTCCAATTAAGATTTTTCAATAATAAACTGATGAAACTTTAATACAAACTGCAGGTTTGTATTTTGGTTTTCACTCAGGAGACAGAAAATTAATACATTTCACTGAAGTAAGAGTAGAAATACTTTAATAAAATTACTGAAGTAAAAATAAAAATACTCCTAAAAATAAACCTTTAATTAAGATTAATTGGCTGATAATTATTAGTTGACAATTATCTAATTAGCCGATCAATCATGTTGGACATATTTTTGATTTTTTTTAAAAAAACAACAGGAAGATTAAAATACCTTTGTCCCGAAGTTATGGTCTAAAAATTGTAAATTAAAATTTTTTATTTTTTTTTTCTGAGTAAAACAAAAACCTGTTGCACGTTAAGTTTTTAACATCTGTTTGTCTCTGATTATTTCATGCACTTCCTGATTCTCAGGTCTGGCTGCCGCGTGCGGGTCCCGCCGGACGGTCCGGCTCCGACCCAGTTGGATGTGGACGGTACCAGGATCCGGACCCGCTTCCTGTTCCCACCTCCAGCCCGGCGCAGGGAACCATGAGCGCAGCGGGACGCGAACAGGTGTCCGCCATCAGCTGCAGGAGCACGGCCGAACCGGACCGAACCCGCGGCCCGTTCGGCTCCAGTAGCAGGAGGAAGAGTGGGAGGCGCTGGCTGACGTCCCCCTCGGGACCGGGCCGAGCGAACAGGTGTGTCCCGGTACCAGGCTCCCGAACCGAGCCGGGACTTTCACCGCAGCTGGTGCGTAAATACCAGAGAAGAGGAGGGTCCAAACGGACTGGTCGGAACAAATTCACGGGTTGGATCGTTTTTCAAGGTTTTATTTTTGATATACATATTGCCCGGTGTTGGACGGACTTGCAGTTTTGCCGGAGAAATTCACCAAAAGTGGGTC